TCCATCACTTTTAAAAATTTCTCTTGTTGATATTCCATTATTTCTGTATCAATTTGCTATATTACATGTAATTTCATTGTATTATAATGAAATTCATTCATTAACATTATCAAATGAACAAACACCTTATCAAATAAAAGATTTTCTTCAAAAATATTCATTTAAAGATTTTAAATATTTAAAATTTTTACGCCTTATTAAACCATCATCCAATGAATTTAATATAATAATTAATGATTTATGTAATGTAGAAACACTTGATATTCAATCAGAAGATATAAATTCATTTGATATAAATACAGTACAAAAAATTTTTTATTCTGAATCATCAATAATTCATTGTTATTTAAGTGAATTTCAAGAAGAATTTATTTTAAATAATTCATATTCATCTATGAAAGAATTAGTAATTAATTCATGTGATTATTTATGTTTTGTCAATATTCTTAATCATTTTTGTTCACTTGAAAAATTAGCAATTAATACACTTTTAATGTCAAGTAATGTTATTTTAGGATCAAATCCTTTGAAAGAAAATTCAATATTATTAATTAAATATTTAAAAATATGTGCACATAGTATTCCATTTGATTATCTACAACGATTATTTCCGTATTTTGAAAATATTCAAATATTTTCATTGTCATTTGTTAGTGATGAAGGTTAGGAAAAAAATTCAAAACTAAAACAAAAATAGTTATATGATAATAACTGTACAAATAGCTTAACTGGTTTCATTCAAAGACTTTTGTAAATTTTGTTAGATTCAATTCGTAGATATTTGCAAAATGTCATTTATTCATTTCGATTCAGCTAATGGATTCTGAAAAATTTTTGTCAGGTCATGAATTGAATTAAATAGAGTGGAATTGGCCGGTTTTTGAATTGAGTTGTTCAACTCTGTATCGGAAATCTGAATTTTATCAACCATAACACACAAATAGAACAGTCTCTAATCATTTGAACCTGGATAGTACAAAAGCATGATATTGGGACAATCTTGTCAGAACATAGTCCGAATAATGAATGCAACGTTTATGAATTGAAACAGAAAGGCAACCATTCCCAAATAATAAAAATGCTGTTCAACTGTTTTCTAGCATTTTCTTCACACTCAATATATTTCACTAGATGACGTAAATAAATTTCGAAATAATTCATTTTCCATTAAAGTGTATCAATAGTTTCGATGGAGTCTACTAGGGTATATAATGACCGAAGGCGAAAACATACATCCATATAGAGAACACCACTAAAAATTGTAACCGAACCGACCGATTTTTACTGGCTAAACAATTATCTAAATATGTTGGATTTTCTTTACAGTAACGTCACATATTCCGTTTTTTGTATAACTTATATGTCTGAAAAAGCTTGGTATGACCTTTCTGTATGTAAAGACATGTGCTTGCAACTAATCCTTGTGTCAATTAAAAACTTCTAAATAATCCTAGTCAGTTTTTATCGGTTCCAAAAAAATTTTTGAACTAACAGGTTTTCGCTGGTTTAATATGTTTTATAAACCGAACTGATTCCCATGTACCAGAGTGACTGTAACCCTGGCGTTTTCTCTGACTAATGGTAAGGGCGAAAACACAGTCATCTTTTGACTAAGGGTGAAAGCGAATAAATCTTTTCTATAAGTTCTTGAATATGTTTATAGAATCTTCCCCTAATTTCTAAAGAAAACAATGTTTATCTTATATAGATTTTGGCTATGTTGATAGTGATAAATGGGAAATGATTATTAATAAAAATTGGCCATTGTTAAAAAAATTCCAAATTTACAGTGAATTCAAGCGTTTAAACCTACAAGATTTCACCGCACTTTGTTCCCGATTATTTTCATTTGATAATAATCAATTTTGGACTGATCGTCAAATAAAATTCATAACAGATTGTTATCGAAATGGAAAGCATTATCAGTTAATTTTTTATTCTGATCCGTATCCCGATCAAAGTTTTTCTAATCAGTACGTAGGCACATTTTCATATATTGCATTCTTAATTTCATTGTTTTTTCTTTATTCACAAACTATTCTTCTCGTCTTATTTTTGAATTTCTTTTAAAGATGGAACAATCCAATTAATACGGATTTAACTTCAAAAAATAGTAAAGATATCTCAACTATTGAAAAAACCTACCAATATGTCAATGATTTACGTTTAACTATTTATAATGATGAAAAAATGGAATTTGAGTTAGATGAACCATCACGTTTTTTTTTCTAATATTGATATACTAACAATACGATTTGAAGAAAATGTATCACCTACTTTATTTGGAAAATATATCAAAAAAACAATTAATCTTAAATATACTAAACATTTAACATTACATGATGAATTCCATAATATGGCAACATTACATAAACTTATACCAGGTAAGTTTATTTGGAATAGCTCCATTTTCATGCGCGTGACTTTGTTCACTAAATCGCACTTTGAGCATACTTTAAGTGAGAAATTGTCAGAAATCGAGATGAAATTAGTAGTATCGAAGTGACACATCGAAATTTCTCTCAAATATTTTCCACCTATTATCTGAGTCGTCCAACTTCTATGATTTATGCTTTCGATGATCGCAGAATGATTTTCTACAAGTACTAACTCGAATATTAATAAAATTCTTTTCGTTTTTTAGGTCTTCTGAATATAACTAAACTAACCATAACAAGTAATCATTGTATATTAATAAAACAATTATTTCAACCAGGATGTGAACATTTATTATCATTATTAAGTGCACGTCTTCTTCATTTTAATTTACTCTATAGTGGTGTTGATGATGTTATATCTTGCGAAACAGTTCAAGATATATGTTATAAGTTTCGTTATTTAAAATCTTTTTCAGCTTTTTTAGCTCATTTTGAAGATTTTAGTAAAAGTATTCCACTATTTATCTATCATATGAAATCACTTCAATATTTTCATATTGGTCTGAAAGATGGTAATAATGAGAAAAAAATTTGTCCACAAGATATGTATGAATGCTTTCAACGACATAATATTTCTTATGAATTTAAATTACATATCGATACATGTACAAATTCAATACATATTTGGTTGTAATTATTGAACTCATTTATTTCTTATCGTTGATTTTTGTATATATGTAGAAAATAGAAATCTGGAATATGATGAACAAAAAATGTTTTATTATATTAAATAAATGAATAAAAGATGAAATAAAATAATTGTTATAATTAAATGTGCTGAAGATGATGATAATTCTAATTCTTTTTCACAGAAATGACGACCAATAGATGGTTGGATTTCATTTCCAGTTAAATTCGCTCCAAAATTTTGAAATGAACAAAATCGAGACCATCTTTTTACAACAGTAAATGTACTATTACCATGACTAAGAAATTCTTTATCAAAATAAAGAAAACATGTGAAAAGAACGTTACCATTCTGCCCATGTAAATATTTTTTGCCTCAAAACGCGTCTGAAACGCGTTTCATTTGCGTGCGAAACGCTAAGAGTGAACGCGTTTGAACGCGTCCCCAGTGAAACAAACGAAGCGTTTAAACGCGATTTATTTTAGAAACGCGTGTGAATGCGCTTCTAGCTTGACTTGCGTTCAAACGCATTTTTAGCGAAAACGCGTCCCAGATGAAACATTTAATGCGTCTGGACGCGTTTCATAAAAAAACTAAAAATTTTGAAAAAAAAATATGATAATCCATTTCAGATTCGAACTGAGTTGCCACCATCAATATTTTTTGATGATCTTAGCCTTCCCTGGCAAATGGATTAGATTTTACCTTAAGCGACGACGATCAGATTTGAACAGATGAACCAGTGATTAGAAGTCGTTCATACATACCGCTGAGTTATACTAACTCGAAATCTTGTCTTATTCAAAATAAAATATATTTGAAGACGAATTTCATCGGTTAAATACTTTATTTTAACAAGATGTATTTTTTTCGAATTCAAGAGTCTTAACACGTAAGATGACTTTTCAGTTATTTTTTTAAATAAGTTTTTTATTTTTTTAATAAAATAACATCTTTTTTTATCATCTACTACACATAAAAAATATTACGATCTTTTTTGTTGCACTGGTAATACGATAAATAATTTTATCGAAAAATTTAATGAATAGATAATTATTGACAACCAATTTAGTAGAAATATATGATGAAAAGTTACTAATAATATTATTTAAATAGTAGTATTTAACAATATTCTGAAAGGGCATTGCATAGCTGGAAACTATTACAATATTATCTAACTATTTTTCTTACAAACTTTAGAGAAATATGGACTGTTCACCGTATGTTTAATTAAATTTTGTCTATTTTAACGTCATCTCGACATTCTTTATTAGAAGTCTAATGAAGTTTAGATGAATAAAATACATGTAAGCTGATGATTTTGATTATGCAGTTAACTCTTCTAGAGCAGCAATTTTTGGGTAAAATCGCGTCGGATACACAAAAAATAAACACCTTCAAAGGCACTCGAAAATATGATTGCGTCCTAACGCGAGCGAAAAACATATTTAAGACACGTTTGAACGCAGTTCGTAAACAAAATTTTTTTAAACGCATTAAATTTTTTTCAGAAACGTGTCGAAACGCGGTTGATTTTTTTCTGATTGCGTTTAAACGCCTTGTATAGAAAACCTGCGTCCAGACGCGTTTCAAAATTTTTCTAACTGCGTCTCAACGCTTCTCATATTACACCACGTTTGAACGCGTTCAGTCAAACTCTTATTAAACACGTACAAACGCAATTTCAATATGAAACGCGTTGAGACGCGGTTCATAGTTTTTTACAATTGCGTTTCAACACGTTGCATACAAAAACTGCTTTCAGACGCGTTTCAAAAGTTTTCTAACTGCGTCTCAACGCGTTTCATATTAAAAATGCATTTGAATGCGTTGTGAAACCGTTTTTAACTGCGTCTAGACGCGCTTTGTTGTGAAACGGCGTTTCAACGCATCGATCTTGCGTTTCGTGATTACATGGGTGTATAACCTGGTCGTTATAATTGTCGATGAGTAATAATATAATAAGCTTCCGTTACATGAACTCGTTCAATACCACAATCAATCCATAAACGTGTTGCTTCTAATGCTTTTTCATTTGGAGATGATGTTTTGAAATCATCGATGATACAAATACTTTGAAAAGAAAAGATCAATATTAGAAATAGATAAATATATAGAGTTGGTGAGTCATCGTCGAAAACTGGCTGTAACAAGAATAGAGGATTTTTTTCATTCAGATCATAGGTCATTTTCGATGATGATACATCTAAGAAGATAGTCGAAATTGAAAAAAAACCTTTCTTTCGGAATATCAACACCAAATACTCTTTTTTGCACAAAGTAGTAAAAATCCAACGGATTCATCCAAATAATAGATAAAAATAAGTACCATATGCATCATTATTCCATCCTGGTGAATGAGCAGCTTGACGATTCCATCCTCTTCCTTCATAAACTTTTCCATTTTCACCAACTAGAAAATGATAACCAATATCTACCCATTCTTGACTATTTTGATGTAAATCTTGAATAGCTTGCACTCGTTGAATACATTCATCATCATCATAACAACTATCAATAATGATATTAGTTAAATAATTTTACTCAGAAAATATTTACTTTGGAGGTTGATAAGTATGATGAATAACATAAAATGAAAGAGGTTTTCCTGTTAAATTTGTTATTGAAGTTGGGTCTCGTGCATTCCATCCTTTTCGATCGACGAATGATACTCGATCACAGGATGATTGAGCATTTGCAGAAGCATTAAACAAAACATGAATCAAAATTAGACTTTTCCAAGTATCAACTTTCACTTCGAAAATATAAAACCTTTATACTCTTTCTTGTTCTTATGGAGACTTTATCAAATCTGAACGATAAATTTCAACTACGCATACAAAACATATTTTCTTGTTGCAGTAAATTGACATAGGGATTAGAAGTTGATAAAAACATATACAAGAGATTTTATTATTCAATAAAAATCTTTGAGTTCGAATAACAAATGACTAATTGGATTTATCTGTTTTGTAAACAGTTATTTAAACTCATTTCCATCAGAAAATTTGTTATTTTTTACAAAATAAATACTAATTAGAAGAAATCGTTTACTAGCTTTTTTTGGCATCAATTCTTTATCAGTTATTGACGGTATCAAGATACTACCATGAATAAATTCTATGTTTATGGTAGTGTAGTAAAACTTAATTACCTTGTGGACTGTTTCTTCTTTTTTTGTACGAATTGTAATACAAAATAAAAAGATTTTGTTTTGTTTGAACCTTAATTTTCAAAACAAATAAAATTGCATTGTCAATTGAACAAACTTGTGATATCATGGAGTACTCTTAAGTTCTCTGTTTGACTGAAACAAAAATATTTCAGTATTGGCATCAATTAGACTTTGATAGATATCATTAGGCATTCAATCCATTGCTTTCGGAGTGATATCGACGGTGTTGTTAGTAAATATTTTGAATGATCTGTGACAACTGAGCACGCTCTCATCTATATTGTGTATTATGTGAACAACTTAGCTTTGGTTTTGTATATATTTCATGGACATAGCACAGTTTGTCCAAGTTGAGCAGAGATTTACTCGAACGTAAAGCGACCAAACTTGTTTTTAAATAGTTTTTCGTACATTCTTTATCGATGAATATCGTTTGTTTTGAATAATGACGAGAATGAACAATGGTTGCCAGTCAAAATCAAGTATTTTTCGTGCCAAAATGATGAAGAAAAAGGTTCTTAATATTTTTTATTATTTGACAAAATAGAAATACTAGCTATAGTTTGACATTAATATATCACCTCCTATTGAATGTTTTTGGTGATAACTGTTCGTATGTCTGTTGTCTTAACTTCGAACACAAATAAAAACATTTTGCTTAGAGCGAAAAAAATTTAGAAATGTGAGCTACCTTAGATTTCTCTGATGAAAGAAGTCCTTTTGAATGAGTGCACTACTGCGATGTTTTATCGTTCTACGATTGTCCCCATTCGACCAGATGAAATGAAAATTTTGTCAAGTATCTTACTGCAGTTTAAAACTCCGTTCTTTGCCACTTGAAGTTGTTAAGTTATGACAATGCAAAGGACAAAAATGGATGAGTGCGTTACCTGTTGATAGGTGGAATAATAAAATAATTAGTTCAATTTTTAATTGTAAGTGATAAAGGGTGAGAATTCATGTCTAGTACAATGCAATGTAAACAGTACTAAATTTTATAAGGACAATGAGATGCATTCATAACGAGTGATCATATAATTCGCTTTTAATAGAATATGAAACTGTACTGATGGCCTACACATTTTGTCATTATCAAACACAATTTATTGAAGTTTTTTTGTCGTTCTCTTCACCTCTCGTTTTACTTTCATATGTAGACTTCACAATTACTATAGTTATTTCTTTCTTTCATTTCAATTCTGTACCGTATGGATCACAGGTTGTATTGGTGACAAAACGTTACAATAACTTTATCAAATTTAACATACCACAATATTTTTTTTTCATGAAAAAAATCAATTCACTATTAAATTGTCGATCACCATTCAAACGTTGTCGATAGAAATTTAATGATCGTTTGATTATGATTCTTACTTTCATATTTTCTATTTCACTTTATTATACTATTTTTATTTTTCAATCAAATTCTTTTGAATTACATTCATCAAATATAATCATTCCATTAACAAGTACACCTGAACGATTTTATTATGAACTTCCTTTTGCGATTCATTCGTTATTATCTCAAACACAATTACCAAAACAAATTCGTACCTATTTATCATCTACTCCTGTAATTATCAGACAAAAAAATCTCACATTAAGACATTTAAAAAGGTATATAAAACGTTTGGATTCATCAAAAATTACTGAGAAATTATTTGATAAATTAGTACAAATCCGATGGGAAGAAGAAGATTATGGTCCAACAATGAAGTTTCTTCCAATTATTAAAGAATTTCAATCGAAATCACAAGCAATTATGATTTGTGATAATGATCAATATTATCATCCATATACTTTAGCAACATTAAATAAATACTCAACTAAATATGAAAATAGTATTATTGGTTTCAGAGGTTGGCGAGGTAAAAAATTTAAAGGATAGAGTCAAGAGATATAATTTAATCTTTTAGTTCGTGAAGATTTGATTTGGGGTGTTGAGGGTGTGGGGTGTGGTGTGTGGGTGTGGGTGTGGGTGTGGGTGTGGATGTGGGTGTGGGTGTGGGTGCGGGTGTGGGTGTGGGGTGTGGGTGTGGATGTGGGTGTGGGCTGTGGGTGTGAGGTGTGGATGTAGGTTGAGCGTTAGTGAATGACAGAACTACTACCAACACCAACCCACACCCCACACCCACACCCACACCGACACCTACATCCACACCCACACTCACTCACACCCACATCCACACCCACTCACACCCACATCCACACCTGCACCCATACCCATACACCCACACACCCACACTCACATCCACATCCACACCCCACACCCACCCACACCCATATCCACACCCACACACCCACACCCCTGGGAAAATGAACCGTTTCCTAAATGTTCTAGTCAAGTGTTTTCGTCATTTCGATCCTTAGTTTTGAAACTGTTGATATAATTGATCATCGCATATTATGTGAATAGTTTATACAACTCTTGCATTCGGTTAATTTATGCGTTAGAAATAAAAGAATTCGAGTCAGCTATGTAATCAACGAGAAAAAACTAAATAAATTAATTATACTAAGCTTCCATTCAAATATTTCATTCGCATTGAAGTAAATCTTTGATGGGAGCCTCAAAATCAATTAGACTAAATTTTTCTTATGGCTAATCTGAAACGTTTCTGCAACATTCTGTGAATATTCTTGGAGTGCTGAAGAAACTGACACCATTGCGCATACAAAACAAATGACGATACAGCTAGGATTCTCTTAATTATCATTCCAAAACAAAATTGAAACATAGCTCGGTATAAGAATAGTGATTTATTTCAATTCTGATGCTATCATATCAATAAGATTAGTGAAGTTTTCTCTGCAAACTAATGCATTCACATTGAAAGGTTTTACTGACACGTGATAAAGCCCACCGATTATGATCACAAGCACCAATGAACAAACCCAGATATCGGTAGTAATCATAGCTGCCGCAGCACCACGATATTGTGGCAATGTACAGTAAGTTGAAGTAACATTTGGATCGGTAAACTGTACCTTGTGAAGTTTTGTCAAGATCCAATTGTTTCCTTCACACCAGAGTACAAAACTGGTTAATAGTATGATTAACGAAATGCAACCAAAGCCTTCCACGACAAAAAAACCGAGATACGTAAAAGAAAAACAAAAGAAATAATAATATGAAAACCATACCGTAGCGAGTTTTCTGTACAGTGCTTACGTCACGCCAATACCCGTCAGGTGATCGAACCTGAATTATTTCGGTCACATCACAAGTCCAAAACTTGTTTGGTTTGCAGCACCCAATAATGAAGAAAACAATCCATCCAAGATCCACAAGAGCACTCCACAACAAATAACTTGTAATAAATTTATGTTTATCGATTGGACACAGGTTTCCGAAGCCTTCTTTCTTTGACCAAGCGTCTAGCAGAGCAAATTTGGTAATGATGAGAGCTATATATGCAATCACTTCGACTATTATCCATATTACCAAAATTAGACGAAAACAACTGAAATAACAGACTTATATAAATGGTCAAAATTAGAGACACAAGTTGTGGGAAAGTTGTGATGAACACAGTGATACCACATAAGGCTGAAAAATTCATTTATTTCTGCTCTCTGACAGGGATTAAAAGTCATTTCTAGTCTAAACGTTTCGTTTATTTCTTTCCCTGAAACTATCAACCTCTGGGTTTCAACTACATGCTCTTTGACTCAAAAACTGTCATCCCTTCCGCCTAATATTCGGGCTTTATTTGTGCTTCTGTCTGAAACATTAGTATCTACATACGACATGATGATTTTTTTCTTCTTTATGTGAGAATAGTGATTGGCAACACCGAGACGCAGTAACTTTTACGCATCCACGTCTTATACTATAAGCGAACAAAGAGTGCAATTGAGTTCGCAAACGAAGCCATTTTTACGGCTTTCGTTTTTTATTGTTTGTCAATAATTCTTCTCAATGCTTTCTATTGCCCCATCATGACAAGAAACCGAAAAAAGGATGTAAGCAGTACTTGACTACATCTACAGAGAAATATACTGTTGACTCTTGAAAAAAGATCGCTAACATTGTACTTCGAACGATTTTCGATCTGATACTCATGGCATTGTGAGTCTTGCATTTAACATCTGACCAGACAAAGTGAAATTGAATACCTCATCCTGCTCAGCTTTTTACACTCTATAACGTCATTTTCAAAATGATTTTAACAACTATACTGCACTGGTTCTCTCTCCTATTACTTTCCTTCGAACACAAGAAATATGTATCAATCATCCATTGAATGAATATTTCAGCAGTTGAGAAAGTTTTGATAGAACATGCTGGTGATTCTTGTGATTTTCTCACATGAATACAAAGTGTCGTTTGTTTCACATGAATCATTCAAGAAAAAAAAAGTTGATTCATGTACATGTCTTCTCTTTGTTTCTCTAGGCGGAAAATTGACCTCCTTGGACATCATAATCTTCAAAAACTGCTTCTATGGATGGGTGGGTGTGGATGTGGGTGGGTGGGTGGGTGCGGGGTGTTGGTGGGTAGGTGTGGGTGTGAGTGTGGGTTCGTTGATCGCCAATACCCACACTCGCACCCTCCCACACCCACACCTACGCTCCACACCCACCCACACCCAACACCCACACGCACCCACACCCCACACCCACCCACACCCCACACTCACACCCCCACACCACACCTACACCCACGCCCACACCCACGCCCACAGCCACAGCCACAGCCACAGCCACAGCCACAGCCACA